CTAGCGATGGCCTCCAACCCAAGAGCGATGGCCTCCAACCTATGATGGCCTAGCGAGGGCCTCCAACCTACTAGCGATGACCTCCAATCTACTAACGATGGCCTCCAACCTAAGAGCGATGGCCTCCAAACTGATATCGATGGCCTCCAACCTAAGAGCGATGGCCTCCAATCTACTAGCGATGGCCTCCAACCTACTAGCGATGGCCTCCAACCTAAGAGCGATGGCCTCCAATCTACTAGCGATGGCCTCCAACCTACTAGCGATGGCCTCCAACCTAAGAGCGATGACCTCCAACCTACTAGCGATGGCCTCCAACCTAAGAGCGGTGAAAGATGGTGTCATGGTATGTCATGGTCCTGGTCCTGCTTTGATATAGTTCCCCAGGAAGAGACACCTATAGTAGATGTTCGACAGAGTGGAGGTTGATAAAATGACTTTCACTGGCCGGGAAGTGTGTCTTGCTGAGTGCTATCTTTGTTCGTGGCTTTGGAACATGCAATGTTGTTAGCTAGTACCTTGAGCTACAACTCCCAGTATTGTATGCAGGAAACATGCTTGGATGTGTGTGTGTGTGTGTCTAAGAATCAGAAGCTGTTGCTTTTTTGTTGCTGCAGGCATGCGCAACCAGATGGAGGCGCAGCTTGGATAGAAGTACTTGAGGACCAAACACCAAAAAAGTAACAGCATGCGCGGCAAGTTCGACGTGGAGAAGTGCACAGAAAGTGAACAACAACCTTATCTTATCGTACCTGAACATGCACGGTTTGTGGAGGGTCCTTTTCTTTGCTTTGGACGCTCCCCACAAACATCGGATGTCCCGCCTTCCTTGGCCGGGGTCGGGAGTGCCTGGAGGCCAGCTTTCAGTGGGGCAGCCTTTGGTACATTTGAAAGGTTTAAGGTAGGGAAGAAGAGGTAGACATGGTAGACACACAGTCGGGCACTGACATCTGGTCACACCCTCTTTTTTTCGGAATGACCATGACAGTTCCCAAGGTCAAGGCATCAATGCATGGCATGAATCAACAGTGATCAAACAAAACATGCACACCTTCCTTGATACCACACAAACCAAATAAGCGCCGCAGTACCCAGGCCTCCCTGGTCTTCAGAAATCAGCATGTTGCTCGGGTCAACCCTTGAACTGGGTGGTCCTTCTTTAGAATGGACGTCTACTGCTACTGAAAATCCATCCGAAATTTCAACAATCAAGCAGTTGCGACTTATGGTGACAAATACTTGTGAACACCTCTATATCCAAGCGTGATCTCTCTGAAGGTCAACCAAAGCCTTTTCGTTGCATGATTCACAACGAAATGACTCATTCGCAATGAAACATCATGGTTGGTTCCGAACGACATACCTCCGGTCACACATATGGCCCAATATGGACTCCAAGATACTTCAAGAATCAGTCTTTCCAACCGCCAGTTGATGAGTAGATCGGCACCCCAAACCACCCAAAACCACCAGCAACCTGCCTGCACAGACGGAGACGCGAGGACAGGGCGGCGACTGGGAACCTGCCAGGGCCAAAACCGGACCCAAACGCGTGACCGCTTGCGTGCACTTGTGACTAGCTTCTAGCTACCAGTCATGGCCTCCCAACCTGCTAGCTTCTTGTTACTAGTAGTAATTGCCCTTGTTTTTTAGCAAATGACTTCACCAGCTTCTTCAGTTTGTGACCCAACTTGAGGTTCTTTTTGGCCAATGACCCTTTAATGATAGAGGCAGTTTGGTGACCGACCCACCTGGGAGTTCAGTCTGCGGTGAACTGAAGAAGAAGGAACGTATGTTTGTTGACGATTGTTCTGTTCGCACACCTGATAGACCACCCCCACTGCAGATTTTGAGCATCTTCCAAATTTGCTCGGGGCAGTTGAAACAAAACATGATGACCTCTGCTCCTAGTAGCGATGACCTCCCTGATTCCGCTCTGTTTGGAAGATCGGATGGCTAGCTCTCTGCTCTTTTCTGGGGGTCTTTCTTTTGAGCGAGAGGCGACGAGCTGCATCGTGTACTGATACTGGAACAAGAACTAGGAAGGGCATTGCTACTAGTAACAAAGGGCATTACTACTAGCAAATAGCTACTAGATGCTACTAGGAACAAGAAGGTGGGTTCAATGCTACAAATGCATGAAAGCCCACAAAACAAGAGCCCGCCCCGCCTCGTCATCTGAAAAGAGGTCCGCATCCTGGCGCGGAAGGGCCGGAATCGGCTGCCGTGAATCGACGCACGATGCCGATTAGATCGGAGTTCTGAGTGTTTCCATTGGAGGTCTTTGGTTACAGTTTTAAGCCAAGCCTTCTTATAACTCCCTCTTTTGCCTGTTCTCACGTTTCCACAGCAAAGGAGAAAAAATGAGAGTCCACCAAGCTAGCTTCCGAGGAAAGGTCCGAAGTGTGGGTCAGGTATCGCTGGCCAAAACCCACGTTCACCCGTGTATCGGCATTTGGATTCTGCATTCTGCCAAAATAACATGTTTAAATTTGGGTTGAGTTCTGCAGATGTGCACGGACCGCCGTCATCTTGTCGTTCCGACTTCGTCGTTTCGATGCTTGCGCTTTGGGCCTCACTTCCTTTTGAAGACCCCCAGGCCTTTAGGATTGTCCTGGACTTTTCAGGATTTGGGTTTCTTAGGCCGGCGTGTGGCACCGCTGTCACGTCAGTACGCATATCCATAAGTGTGTCTCTCCTAGTGAGAGTCCGGGATGAGCCCGTAGAGTGCCTCCCGTGGACCCGTCGAACGGGTGTCTGTCTCTGCTTCCAATGCCGCGGAAACGCACGTGCTCAGAGCGGGCGTAGGAGGCTTATGCCAAAGTTATTTGCCAAGACTTGACGGATTATTGAATTCCAAGTTGGCTCATGCCTTTACGTGACCGCAGCGGTCTAAGCTGGCTTAACGCCTCAACGTGGTCAGAGCGACCAAAGTACTTTTGAGGTTCGTTGGAACCTGTCCCACTCTCAGGTGCACACACAGCGCTTACATTCAAACGAGGCAGGTTCCTAGGCGCTTCGAATGAGGTCTGGTTTCATCGGTTCTCGTCCCCTCCATTTGGTTCCCCTTTCATCCCTTCACACACTTTTGTTCCCTCTTTTCTTTCATGTCCTCCTGTCTTCATGTCTGGTCATCTCATCCTTTTCTTCGTTCGCGCGCACATTGGTCCCGGCCTTAGTGTGTACGTGCACTTCTACATACCTTTAAACACAGGTTTCAGGTCGCCCAGGTCTTTACAATGAGGTGGGCTTCATCGGGTGTCCCTGCGCACTTGGCTCCCCTTTCATTTCAACCACACGCACCTTTGTCCCGTCTCATCCTCCTGGCATGTCTTCATTCTTTTGTATCTTGTGCGCGCACACGTGCACATTGGCCCTCACCTTAGCTTTGCGCCTCTCTTCGGGGAGGCGTGTGTGTGTGTGCCCCTTGTAGTCACTGGGATTCTTTTGAATTGCTTTTTGTTTTCTTCAGCAGGGGGATTGCCTGGCTTGTACCAGTGGCAGTCCAACGAAGAGGCTGTTACAAGTCACTGATATGGATTCTGGACGCAGAATCCACGTACCTGCTTGGTTGTGGCGTTGACAAGCTTTCACTCCAATCTTCTCGTAAAGGGCTAATGAGTTCTGCAGATGTGCACGGACCGCCGTCATCTTGTCGTTCCGACTTCGTCGTTTCGATGCTTGCGCTTTGGGCCTCACTTCCTTTTGAAGACCCCCCGGCCTTTTAGGATTGTCCTGGACTTTTCAGGATTTGGGTTTCTTAGGCCGGCGTGTGGCACCGCTGTCAAGTCAGTACGCATATCCATAAGTGTGTGTGCGTGTGCTTTTTTCCAGGGTGTTTTAGCTTGTTTTTTACAATGTGTTCTTTTGTTTTAGATGATGCGATGTGGTCACCTGACTGGAAGAACACGTGGTTTCCAGGAGTCTGGCGCGGCACAAGGCACACCCAGACCTGCGAGCTCATCAGCCCCATCATGGCGACGTGGATGCCACGGTCGTGAACGACCGCGCGATGAGGGGCGCCCAGGCGCGGATGAAGGGACACGATGCCCAGACTGTTTGGAAAAAGTTGGGAGGTGAGGTACTAGTATATATAGTGAGGACTTTGTATTTCAATGTGCTTGATGGGGAAAGCATCCGTTGTTCTTCTGTGTACTGATAATATCCAGTCTATAAATGGTCTGTGACAGGTTCGCCAACTTCACGTCTCTGTTGGGGATGATGGCGGAACCGGACTTCAGCACCCCTGGCGCCCATGAGAAGCTCGGTTTTTGGCGCCCTAGGGTCGACGATTGGGATCACCAAGCTGGCTTCGTTCGCAAGGATTGGAACTGGACTCGCTTCGTTCTGATGGGAACAAATGGGAATCAATCCCACATGATCACACATAGATGTGTGGAACCCATTCTTTGTCACCTGAGCCTTGGAAATGGCTGCTGCCTGAGCCTATTCACATGCATGACAACGTCGCCCAGACCGGCAATTTCAATCTTGATGTCTGGATGTCGAGCATGCCTCCTTACAGAAGTAGTGCAAAAGGACAAACCTGATCATTTTATGTTCTTGTACTACTGACCCATGAGAGCTTGAACATGATTGAACACATCTCTGAGCTCACTTACTTTGGAGAGCACGGCATTCTGGACAAACAGGGCCGGTGACACATCCACACCAACTGTAGCCCTGGGAGCATCCTAACCCAAAGATCTCAAACCTGCGAATGCATGACAGTGGAACAGCTGATCCTGTACTAAGTGGACGTTTCAAAAGGCAAAATGCTTGAAGATGAAGAATGAACGTCCATGAATCAACGCTAATCACTGAAAGAGATTGAAGATTCGGACACACCGATAGCAACCCTCCATCCATCAATCAACCATGACTTGGTGGTATGACATATCCCTCTCTCCGAACCAAGGGATTGGACGTCGAAGAGGATGACTCGGCCGATTCAACCACCGGTGCCGTCCGCCCACCCAGCGGTCCCGTCAGCGTCGCACCGACGAAAGGTGCTGCCACACAGGTCTCGCACCTCAGAGGTGCGCCCACCGCCGACCACCGCTCGAGACGGGGACACGGAGCTCAGACCGATGGCTGGATCCCGTCCACGCCAAGGCGTGCCCAGCTCCAGTTCAAAAAGGAGAACATCCGGAACAGTATGAGTTAAACGATCTATAGGGATGGACCATGGAACATAGGGATGGATCGATATGTTGTTTTTCCAAAGATCTATGATATGATCTATGTTTAAAGCAGGGTTTTTCAGCCCTCTCCCTTACAATCCACCCTAATCCCATCCCCAAAACGTCCGAGACGGTCGCCTCCTAAGGTCCGAGACGGTCGCCTCGCCCCGCTCGGGCGCCGAACTCCAGGGTTCTCGATGACCAAGAACCTCGGAAGGTCCGAGGTCACCGAACCAGCGGCTCCACGAAACCAACGCGGACCCGTTAACCGGACGAGGAGGAAACCATGTGATGGGAAGAAGATCCAAGCAACATATAAAAATATATAATATATGTACAATAGCATCGACCATCAAAAAGCTGGCGTTTCATTTATAATACTGACAGCTTCGCTGGCCTACTTTCTCTGTTTAAACAAACGACGGCTCATTCAGCCTCACCACCCGGTCCGCCGGACGATCCACGGTCATACTGCTTCGGGCCGGGTCACTGCTTCGGGGCCTCGCTGGGCTTCTGGCCCTGCGGGCGCGGCCAGTTGGATCCATGCGAAAGCGGAGCAAAAAAACACCTGCACTGCATACGGTATGCATACGGTATATGTCCATGTGGTGTTAAATGTATGACTCATTGATGATAATCTCAACTCCCCATCTGAAGGTTGTGTTGCCATCCAAACAGAGGGGTGATAAGAGTCTCAAGAGTCTATACCAACTCGTCCATGTGTCCCGGAGGATCCGCTCCATTCCCCGCCCCCCGCGTGTCACGTGTCTCGTGTCACGTGTCACGCGTCACGTGCCACGCTTCGAAGCCGGCGTCTTGAACGCCTCAACGTGGCACTCGAGCACTCCATCATACTCCAGGATGTACCTCGATACGAGACGTCGGACGTCAACGGAGACGAGGGACGTGGACCTGGAGGTCTGGGTGGGACGAGGGACGTGAAAAAGATGGGACGCGTACGCAAGGAGATGCTTTGAATGGATGAAGGGATCGCATGATTCACAGAGAGCTAGGGAATCTGATCACTTCAGTTTCTGGACCTGATGACGATCATCTAGAACCAAAGCAGTTTCAACCTTCGGACCTTCCGCCCGGCCCTGGCTGCCCTGACCAAAGGGCCGCCTTAAGCAAAGGGCCGCTGTTGGTTTGCTCGTGCTTCTTCCAGAGTTTGCATAGTGATACATCTCCGTGGCCCTCTCGGAGAGCGAGAAGCGATCGGCGATCTATCGACAGGCACTGAAGAAACGGCACCCAACCATGGACAGCTCACCAATCGCCGCCAGGCTGGGAAGACTAAAGCAACCCGATCATGATCAATCATGTGCTGCAAAAGATGAAAATCAAAAGGAAGCAGCACACGCACCACATGCACCAGTTGCACCAGCATCTCTTTGGAGATCTATTGACACAGCCGAGTGCCTGCCTGGTCTTCCTTTCCGCCCCAAACCACCGGGACCGCCGAGCGGCTCCAGCAAGGGCTCGAAGGCCCCGGGGTCGAAACGCAGGCGACGCACCTGACCGGATCCACTGGACGGTCCCACGCCGTGGATCAGGTACACCCGTGGCTGGCGAACTGCGCGCGCGCCGGGTGTCGGGCTGGTGCGGATCAGATACAAGATCTGACCAGCTGCGGTCTCCCCCCTTTTTTCTCCTCAATCAACCCAAACCGAGTGTTTTGGGGCGAACTGGGGCCGGCTTTCCTGGCCGGGTTGCACCGGTGAAAAACATTGAAAAACGACTGGGTGACCCCGTGGTGTTTCTTTCCGAACGCGGTGAACCCGTTGAGCAGAGGTTGCGTGGTTGAGATAAGTTGATCTCCTCGGACAACTGGATGATGTGGGACTGCAGAGGGGACTGCCCAGGGGCTTACGATCTGTAGAGCATGCTCTTTTCCCGCTGGAGTTGCTCCCATGTCATGCTTTCTAGCGTAAACAAAGATAGAAAATATATCGCAAAGCTCCTAATTATCACAAAGGACATCCAAATCTGTGCCCTGTGGCTGTGTCGTTTCTTCAGGTCATGGGTCTACGCACGAATTCGCGCTGGTCCACGCTGGCTACAGCAGGGTGTCTGACACTTGAAGGGGTATAGAGTGCAGCCCCCCCCCCCCGAAGGGAGGACTGCCCCGGCTCTAATCCCTAACCAAGTGTTCCGCGTCCTCCGTTAGCCCTACATCAAAACCACCCAACTGTAGGTTACCGCTGGCCACCCGGACCCGTAAGCCATCTACATAACCCTCCCGGAAGTCCTAGCGTGGGTCCTTCGCGGAGGTGGAGGTACGTCTTTGGCCAGCTTGATGCAATCAAACCCCTGGCAAATTCAGCTCCAACCTTTTTCTTCTTTTGGCTGGCACGCTCCACTACATCTTACCCATAATTCACCTATGGAACTCTGGCCAACAAGCGTTGCTGTGGCCTGCGACATTTGCAAGCTGGCGGCGACCGGTTCGGAGAGAACAGGGGCCAAAACGGACCGTTTGGGCGCAGTGCCGGATTCAAGCGAAGAGGGTGCTCCGTATCCGCCGTATCAAATATACTTATATGTCAGTCTAGATCTATAAAAACAAGTCTAGATCCAAACAATAAGCCTTCTATGATTGTATGTTGTTCTAATGACTGACACAATGTCACTATGAAAGAGAGGACAGCTGCTTCCCTCAAACATTTGAAGCATTGACAAAAGTGGGAGAATGGTTCGCAAGGAGTGACCAGATAGCAATAGTTGCCCCAAAAAAATCCATACAAACAAACCGTCTCTATATAGAATATACATATATCATATCATATCATATCATATCATATCATACTATGTTTAATTCTAGTGGGGCATGCTTTCGGCTACTTCAGGGGACTGTTCCATCCGTGGAAACCCCAGTCGTGACCAGGGCCACCACCTTGCACTCAAGCTCCCCAAAGTTGATGGTTTCACTTGGATCAAGGGGGTGCTTAAGGAGTTTTCACTTCATAGCCTTTCGAGACCAACGACCCAGTCGCACACAGACCGCACTCACTCGGTCGCCGAAGACAAACCAGCGACAGTCCAGTCCTGTGCGTGCGGTGAAGGTATTGCTCCTGTTGGGGTCAACGGGCTCCCTAGCGAAGCCTGTCGATTAGAGGTCACGCCACATAACACAACAAACACCCTGCAGGCGTTCGTAGAGGGGTAATGCTGCAGGTTCTGCTACATGTTCTACAAGATCCTCGCACACGGCACACTGGGAAACATCAAAGAACAAGCACCGTTTTTCGTGTTGGTCTGAAGTGGACGTCGTTTCTGTTCCTACTGCAAGCATCTCACCGACATCCGACCACATCAGCTTCCTCTTGACAATGCAACTGAAAAGAAATCACCAAGCAGCTATATAGGGAAAGAAAACACTCAAGTTCCCTTTGCGCACGCCTGATAATTACAACATATTGGGGCGGTGAAACAGCTACTGAACTTCTGTTCAGGAATTTGAACTACAATACAACGGATTACCACAAGAAAACCAAACTTGGTACAAGGACCCACCTTCCAAATTCTCCAAAGTCTCTCTTCCGCTGAAGAGTTCGAAAGAAACTCTCCCACCTTCCAGTCACTCTACCTCTTTGGGCTCTCAAAGACATCCACCACCAGGACGCACGAACCTTAGAGCTCTGTGAGTCACAAACAGTCGTCCGATTCAGATCCAGTGGGCTGGGTCCAGCAAGAAGTTTCTGCATGGATTCCTTGAATGTCCTACCTCATCCTGATAGTTCTTTAAAAAATCAGTCACTGGCCAAGATGTCCAGAATGGTTTTCAGCCTACAACTGTGTCATTCTTCGCTCTCGTGAAATCTGGTTTTCTTTTCATCATGTGGCCCGATTCGAGGAACTACCGATTCGAGGAACTATGAACTTGAGAGAGGAAACAAGAGACGAACAACATGGCAACGGATTTCCAGCTAAATACCAGCTTCCTAGTGTCCAAGTGTCACTCCCTGTGACCCCCGAAGCTTCACACTCCTTCGACCCTCCTTCGACTCTCGTGTGCAGAACGCGTCTCGTTCTCGGCGTCTTCACCCCGGTCCGGTCCGTCATCCACTCACGCCCGATCTCGCCGATCTTTCTACGCCGGATCTCGCCGATTTCAGTCTGAACAGGCGACAGGAAAGACGCACCTTCCAACTGGGAGAAGCGCAGACGCCGGCGATGGGTGAGACGCACGACACTTCCAGTGAGAGGCGTCTTTTCTTCTCACACACGCCTCTCACTGTCGACATCGCGCCGGCGTGTCAGTCGCCATTTGGTGACTTGAGAGTCATCAGGGTGACCGGGATGCTTTAACATGCCTCTCCAGTTGAGAGCACATGCCTCTGGTCCTTTTTCGTCGATGGCGCCGGCCACCCCTGTTTCCCTCACAAGGTTTCATCAATCATCTTCCAAACGGTGGCTCCGACCACTGAAGTCGGAGCCCCTTGGGCCAGTTCCATCTCCCGGGGGGATGGGTCCCAGGTTCTGAAAGCGAATCCGCCCAAAGGTGCCTGACGGCTCACAACGGGCTCGGACGCGACCCGAACGGGACCGGACGGCACATCCGGTACCTGTCCTCATTGTCTACCCAGTCCTCCTCCTCTGTCTGCTACCCCCGTAACGTAGAGAGACGAGAGCCCACAGCGGCCGACCAGTCCGACATGGTGGAGAAACACGGCTCCTCTGCCCCGAAAACCAAAAGAGCCCCACGAAAAAAACCCTCCACGATCGTCCACAAGCCCTCGCCCTCGCCCCCGCTCCCGCGTTCGTTCTTCGCATTCGTTGTTCGCGTTCCTTCTTCGCACGGTCTCTCTTGGCTTTAGCTTAGCTCATTCCCGCACGGGATCTGACGTCTGCTGACGGAGGGACGTGTGTTGCTGGGATTCCGGGTCGTCTCGAAGGTCAAGTTGGGCGACGGCTCGCTGGGCTCGGCTTGGAGCTCCACATGCGCCTCTCCCGCCAGGTAGGCACCCAACAGCATGGTCAGGGGAGACCTCACGGATCATCATGTTCTCCGTTCGGGACCGGAGGGCAAGGCATGAGTTTGTTCGACAGAAACGATTGTTTTGTTCAAAAAAAGAAGAAAACGTCACTTGCCAGCAGTTCCATGCAGTTGGGTGAAGAACATTGGAGGATAGCAGTGCCCTTTGTCACATCGAACAGACTGAACACCCTATCATGGAACTTCTGGTCGCTCGTCTTTGCCATCCAAGGGAACAAAATCATCGCAACGCTTCCGGCATTGTAGACATAACCTGCCGCGGACCCGGATCGTTGCGTGGCGCCATTGGGGGGTTCCGCAAGATGACGCTTGGGAGGATGCGATGTCTCCCAGCAACACTGGGGCACCGTTTAGATGAAGTAGAATGTTTCTGACCCAGAAACACTGCCAGGTGTTCCAAGTGTGGAATGGTTCTTTGCAGGCTTCAAACCGGGCTTCACTTGGAGCGAACGACCTGTGGTTGAAATCTCACTCCCGTTTTCGGACATACTCATGCGGGCGCATGTCTTTGCTTCACCAAGCTTATGAAGTCCGCACATGCGAGTCAAATAGACTCATATCTGCGGTCATAAACATGTTGTCTGACAGGTGCTTCTGCAAGAGACACGAACTGCTTCACAATATGCCTTGCAAGCCCCAAAAACAGGTAGGTCTTGGGGGGGGTAGCATATGTTGCACCGGACACTCCTTTGGCAACAAATAAGTTCGATATATTTCTCTAAGATACCCAGCGTCGCCTGCATTCATGATTCGGCTGTACTCCAAATCCAATGAGATGTTGAATCATATCCAGCCCAACGGTTCAAGTGTATTAGAAGTTTCGACATGCATGTATGATATGAATGATTCGAATTCTGCTTCATTCTGCACCTTTTCAGCCAGGCAACTCTTGGTGTGATCGAAAAAGGGTGAGGTCTTGATAATCGTCGTGTACGTAATCCTCAGCTCGTCATCCATACTCCTTCGGTCCACTGGCTCGACCGAGACCTCTGAGCGCCCACCGATGCTCGACAAGAGTGGGACGACGTCAAAAAAGAGGCACAGCATGGAAAGCATCGAGAAGGCCAAGGCATATCCTAAGTGAGGCCGTGATGATCGTAACGTGCCCCATCCGGGTGCCCGCAGCGCGGGATGGGTGGGATGGCAGGCGAAACTTCTTTTGAAACATGGCAAGTGGATGCAAGTGGGGGGGTTGACAGGTTTTCGGATCACTCTAGGGCGGTCCGCTGGCGATCAGGGGATATCACACCTGGATCATCTTCATGTGCTGGATACCTGGAGATTTGGGGGGCCATTGGAGATGTTGAGCTGCTGCAGAAATTAAGTCAAGACCCGGGTGCAGCATGGTCAATGATCAGGAATGTGTGGGTGTTGAAACTTGGGAACCACAGTACTGAGTGCTTTCTGAGCGCTGCCTGAGTCCCCATTCACTCTGAGATTGCCAAGGCCCCAGGTCTGTCGCCAACATCAATTTTAAGAAGCTGATTGGAAACGTGAACAAAGCTGTGAATGGTGGGTGGGTCTCTTTCCTACAAGGCCATAATTACGGGCGATGTCGTTGTCAATTTTTTTTTCATCACCGTCCCTCCCGGACTCCCGCGTGACCAAAACAAGGCGTCGATGTAACTCGGCCATGCCATCTGTCAACATCATACAGGCTAAGAACAGCATGAGAGTGGTGAGCATCCCGCCCACCAGGTCCAAAGTGGTGAACTGGACTATCGAAGTGATAGTCCTGGGAGAAAAAGGCGAGAGATGGTTGGGTAGGGCTTTGGGGGGGCTGAGTTTCTGGGTGTTTCATGGCACATGAAACGGTGCAAACAGAACATGTTGGCAAAACAGGGGCATATTTCCTGAGAAACTTATACAGAGAAATCTGCTATAGCGACGGTCGAACTGCACCTTCCAACAATTCTCCTCATTTGGCGGCCGTTCTTGGTCAGCTTTGATGGGATTTGGGGTGTTGGAAGGTGCAGATGACCGAGTTGGCTGAGAAACAGAAAGAAAAGCAGCAGCTTCCACCATGGCCTGGCCCAGTCGATTACCGAAATTTACCGAAAAGAGGAACTCCGAAGCCAGCGCTGGAGGTGAAGACTTTTCAAATGTCTTTGAACTCCCCTCCGAAACGAAAACAAAAGCCAGGGCCACAGTCTTCCCTGTCCTGGAAAACTGCGAACACGAAAAAAAAAAAAAACTCCACGATGTGAGACACTCAGACCCCAACCCTCGGACCTCTTCTCCAGCACAGCTTGCGGGGGTGGTCCCCGCGGCACCCCCACCGCGAGGTCCGACAGCATCAGGCCCGCGCGACCATGCAGCAGCCGCCCCACCCGTCGGACACCCGGAGCCGGCGAGCGAGGACTCGCCGGTTGCGGAGAAGGACAGGGTTGGGTTCAGTTCGGTTCGGCGAGGGATTTCGCCCACTGCGCGAGCCGAGAGGAGCCGTGGCGGAGTGACGCGGGAGGGAATGACACTGCGGGTTGTGGTGGACAAGCATGGACAAGGGACCACGCATCCTCTCTAAGAATGTGTTGGTTCTACGTATATTACACTCCCTGAAAAAGTCATGGAAGTGGATGGCACCACCTGTTTGGTATTCGATCATCCTTACGGAGATCCACTTCCATGATTCATTCGGAGGTGTAGAACCCCCCAAGGCAACGGAAGCTTCCAAATCTTCTGTTTCCGCTGCCAGAAAAGGGACCCTTCCGTTTCCGTGGATTCCGGGACAGGTCGAATGAATGAAGCTTTCCGAAATCATTGTCACGAGGGGACCCGGGGGAGTTTCTAGATCTCTCTCTTATTCATCCAAGCATCCCACTCCCGAACCAGCCACATGTGATTTGCTTTGTGTTACCCTTCATGATGGTACAAGGAAAGTTCTTTTGAGGACAACGGTCTTGAAAGCCACCAGTCTTCCATGTCATCGCGGCTCACATCCCTTTTAGAGGCTATGAAGGACAAGGTCAAAGCTTTTCCAAAACCAAAGCTTTTCCAAAACTCTTCCCCGCGCGCGCGCCGTCCGCCGCTCGGATCCAGCCACCCGCCAAGGCACCCAGGGAACTGCCATTGAGTTCCAGTGCTAACGTGGCCTCCTCGGCACTTCCGAAGGCCACGCAGCCGGTGCCCTGGGGAAGCAACACCACCGGACGAAACGAGGAATTGGTTCGGTTGGAAGGAGTGCACCAAACCGGCGGGCAACATCGGTTGGCAAGTGGAAGTCGATTTGATAACACTGTTTTTGATAAGATAAGAATCTATAGATGTATAATTGACCTATATAGGATTATGAATCATGAATAGTACTAGTATAGAAGCAACTAGATAGTAAATGATAGCAGTTTCGGGTTTCGGGGATGATCGTTTCAGCCACATTCGTCGGTATGGAAATGTCAGGTATGATGTGCGAAGGTGCTCATGCCAGCAGCCAGCAGCCTAGTTGCCTAGTTGGTTGTGGTCATTGTTGGCAATGGATTGAGTACTGTCCCACGAACTGCCGGCAGTGATTACGTAGGGTGGAATCGTTGGAAAGATCCAAGATGCCGTTAGAATCTGCAAACATAAAGCATGACTGTTGGGTGGTTGTATAGATCATTCGAAGCTTCACTGTTCTGTTATGTTCTGTTTAATTGAAAGTTTGGTCAATCAGTGAGGCACAACCAATACAACCAAAATCGTCGCTCTGCATAACAAGCTCGCCCATCCAAGAAAAACAACAACAGACTGAGCTTGATATCTATTCTCGCATATCCCTGGCCCCTTGCAAGTGCTGATTCGGCTTAGTTACTTTCACATTCCATTCCATTCAGTCCCTGCCGAAACATGCGAGTTGTGCCTTGGGGAAGACCGTGGCCCACGTCACTGTGCCCACCTGTTCGAAGTGCGCCTCCATGGCGTGGCGTGAAGAACGTGAAGAAGATGGCGGGGTCGGATCGGGTTGGTGGTTCTGATGCTCCTTTTGGGAACCTGTCATTTTGGGAAAGATGTGAGCTCTACCGATTCCGTTCATCAAACCGTGGAAACGAACATCAAACCGGGGAGAAACGGAACTCTGTGAAACGGAAAAAAAAAGAGTGGAACGTCAAGAACGGAACGCTGCTCAGATTAGTTCTGGACTCTTTTCGGCAACACCGACCTTGTGTCATTTCCAAGGATCTCGAGAGTCCACTGTGTCCCTGTCGTATCGGCAGTGAGAGCTCTGGCCACACGGAGTCAGTCATTGTGTAACCCAGGAACGAAGAACGAGATGCTGTGGAACGGGTGTCATCCAGGTGGATGTTTCTTCTAGGCCACCTTGAAATCCGTCTTCAATCAGAAGCACCACAGCACGGTTCTGCCCATGATCCACATGCACCTTTCGGAAACTCCCGGAAGCTTCCCCGGTAGACTCTTGATTTCATCACACCCGCCACGTGAAGGTTCAATCCAAATCCAAGGTGCTTCTTCATCAATGGTCATTTCTAAACCAACCCATACCAGCACCTTCAGTTCGGGGTCACCAATGGAAGCCCCAGCCCACTACACTACGGGATCTCCAGACAGGGCACCCGAAGGTCCAGGTACCTCAGGTACCTTTTGATCGGCTTCCCATCGTCTCACCTCGAACCGACTCGCGGACGCGGCGCCTGCAACATCTTCCAGGAGACGGACTCATCCAGACCGCCGATCCAGACCTGACCGAGGGACGACACGTCACCGTCGTCTGCGGCGCACCCGGTCTCCGGTTCGGGGGTCACCCGGAACAGGGACCGTTGACAGATGGAAAGAAAAGGAAGTTCTTGGGGAAGGACCTGAAAACGGGGTGAAAGAGATGTTAAAGGCATGCCAGGCACGCAAGAGAGTGATATGATACGTTTGAGATGTCAATAGATGTCACGTGTGTTCCAAAAACCGCGCATGTCATATGCATTGAGCCTGAGAAACCCTGCTCCCGCGGAACGGTGCCTTCATGGAATTGTCGATGGCGCGGAGCTTTTGGATTTCGCCATTCATCTTCCCTTTGCCTTTGCTCTTGCCTCCAGCTGGGTGAAGGATTAAAGCTGGTATACGGACATGTCATGCCTTTGTGGTCAAAATGATGGACAAACATGCAAGGGCTGACTTGGGTCATTTAGTTCTCAGTGAGTTTCAGCGCTCCCTTCGATTTTGGACGCTCTACGCGTCAAGAGTTCAACGAATTCTCCCTTGCTCACAGCATCTCACAGCCTTTGCCCTTGCTCTTGCCGCCTTTCTCCCAGGCCATCGGCGTCTTCCTGAAGACACTCCGTCGACGAGAGGACGTGCGGCACGGGATGGCGGACGAAACCTGGAAGACGAGGCACAGGGCTGTGACCACGTGGACTGTGACATACCTGATGTTTAACCACTGGTGAGTAGTCCACCCCTTCAGGATCCTTCAGGATATGGAGTACACAAGAGTTGCAAGGCTCATCCTCCCAAGCGTGAAAAGAAGCAACAACTGGTCCGTCAACGATCTTTCTTGAGAACTTTCAGGCCAGTGGTCCTTCAACGCAAGAGGTGGTCAGGCCAGTGGTCGGTGGTTTGAAGAACCACAGGGTCCCGATATGTCCCGATCGTTCAAGCCGCAGCAAGAAGGGATGTCATCAAAAGCGCCTCGAACAAGGGAACACAGCTCGTGGCCCGGGTACGCACCGAGGGAAAAAAAAAAAACAGGTCATGCTTGGTATAGAAGGAAAAAAGGCAATGACGACAACAACAACAACAACAATTACAGGGACATACATGGACAACTGTTCATGTTCCATCCTGGCTGTTCATTTCTCCCAGTTCTTCAACGTTCTTTCTTTTTTTCCATCCTTTTTCCATATACACTCTGTCTGAGCCAAGCCGAGGCTCTCGAACATCGGCTTCCACACGGGGATGCTCTTGCTCTTGCCCTTGCCCTTGTCTTTGCCGCCTTTGCCTTTGCCGCCTTTGCCGAAAAGGCATCGTCGGAACGGTGGTCCGGTGGCAGGAGCTTGTACATGTGTCTTCGCGTGTCTTCGTGTCTTCGCGTGTCTTCGTGTGTTCGGGTGTTCG